GGAATATTTCTCGGGGTCCTGACAGCTCCTCCAGCACTGAAATGGAAAGGGCTTTATCGTGGAACGTTTTGTCACTCAGGCTGCTGAAAGCACCTCAACTCCGGGTTAGGCTGCTGTCGCTGCCCTGGTTTATGGCTCAGGTCAAAAGGGCAAGGCATCATTTTTGATATAAAGCTGTGGCTTGTGAGGTCAGATCTGTTTGTATGAAAACATGGATTTTCCCCTGTGGAATTATGATGAACTTCATTTCCTTTGTGTAGCTTTGAAACAAAGTAGGGGTGGTCAGTATGAAGGCTAGTTGATATCGAGTATGACCAGACAGTAATGATGTATTACGATATACCAAAAAAATAATGATCATAGTTCATATGTCTTGGTGGCTGTTTGCCGTTTGCCATTTTTGGGCTTATTACGTATTCATGAAATGGTAAAATTCTAGGAGTGTAACACCTGACAAAAGGGTTCTATATTCCCATGTTGCCTCAATCATATTTCTTCAACATGAAAATAAGAGTAACGTCTCTACCTGTGGTATATTGATAAACGTACATATTCTGATATGTTCAGTAAATACAATTTGAAATTCCCCAAAGAAATTCCCTTAATATTACACACAGTGACTGAACATTTCAGTGAACAAATATGAGAATTCATACAGTGATAGACGAAGTGTATGTACCGTACGCTCTGATCTCTCAAAACATGTTTGAATTAAAAAGTTAGCTAGGCTTGCTAATTCGCCCACTGAGCTTAGCCTAGGTAAGACAAAATGTGTTCCTTTTGAAAAATCTGCTCATTGTTTTCTGTTTGATTGTTGAAGACCCCCATGACATTAACCATGACCTTGAGAAAGCTTGCATGGGTTCCCATAATGTCTCGTATTGAGTTCTATCATATAAAGGGATGAAATGAACAGGGGGGCCTGGGAGCTGAGTTGGGGTGTGCTTCCATTTTTTGATCCGGCAGAAATAAAGAGTGGCTAGAAAATGCACCTTATATTAACCAGTGGTTGATGAAGTACACAAACCATGTGCTTGTTTAGATCTCTACTTTAACTCAAGTTTAAATTTAATCAAATTTACATTTAATAAAAACTTGCTTTAATCTCAGATTCTCAAATGAGTTTCCTTCACTAAACTGCATCTGTAGGTCTCTGTTCATAAACATAAACTGGAAAAACTAATTTACTATAAAATGAAATGTGTTTGTATAAATTCAGAAAAAAGACACGTCAGTCACAACTGCATATGTGTACATATTTCTATATTGTGGTCTGTTTACACAAAGTTAGGTTAGTTCATCATTTATGTTGAATAGACTCTCCCAAAATTTTACGCTGCTGCACTGATGTTGAACCGTGTGCTGCACTGGGTCGGTATGACCAACAGGTCAAAACAAGCTCAAAACAAAGTGACCGCTGTGCCCTGATTGGTGCTCTTGCTTTGCACTTCTTTCGTTTTGACATGTTATGTTTTTATACACACATAAACCAAAAGGAACGACAGATTTTTCATAATGTAGTGAAGAAAAAAGTAAGATATTTGACTTTGAAATGTAGTGGAGTGAAAGTAAAAAGTCACCAAAATGGAAAAACTTCAGTAAAGATACACAAATAAACTACTTAAGTACAGCAACGAATTACATTTACTTCGTTACTGTCCACTCCTGATATTAACATGTTAAAGTTTCCATTTTCTGTTTATTACAGCATTTAACCTTTATAAAAGTACAGTGTTTGAAACAAAAGAAACAAAAGTGCTTTGAAGTGTCCCCATCTAACGCTCTGCCACAAGCTAATGTTAGCCCAAGCTAACGTGATAGCCACAAGCCAACTTGCTAGTCATGATACAACGATACGATACAAGCCAATATGATAAGCTGCAATACAGTTTGATACAATATATTGCATTGCTGCGTCCCTATAAAGCATCATACTGCTATTCATTTTATACCAGAATCTGCAGAACCTACAGATTTAAAAATGATCCTCCATTTTATTCCCTTTAACGAGTCATAAAAGCTTTTTAGAACAAAAAAGTATTTTAGATCGAAACGACCAGCTGAAGTTCAGGGAAGGTGCAGACGAGAGTTTGAGGGCCCACCGCTCCAGCTTTTCCCTTCCCCACCCCCAGCAAACGGAGGACCTTTATACGCTTTTTGTCTTTTTTAATGTCAGCCGATAGAGTTTCCCCCGACGGCTCAAAGCGAGCTTTAGTGAGAAAGGCAATGACGCAGCAGGTACGCCATACTGACTCTGCGTCCCTTCTTTAACCCTGAGCACTCGTTCACCTCCGTGGAGAGAAAAACAAAAAGGCTTAGAAATGGTGAGAGCGCTGTTAAAGCAATACTAAACCCTGAGGAATACCAAATGCTAAGTTAGTGCTAATGAAAGCTACTGGGCTCCAGTTAGCATTACACAGAGGAGGCATGGCATCTAATCCCTTCCATTCATTGAATTTTTGGGTGTAGTGCTGCTTTATGGCATTTCAAACCAAATGGCATGTTTACTAAGAACACTTAGTTACCTAGATTTTCACCGTTTTCATATTATGACTTCTGTAGAGCTTTTGCGTTGGTGCAGGAGGTTTCAGCAGGTGTTCTCGCTCTGATTCTGGTTGGATACCTGATTCCGAAACTGCCATTCTTCTCTAAGCGATTACATAAATTTGTAGTGCATTCTGGTAATTCCCTCTGCAGATCAAATATGCCTTTTTCAGTTTGAAAGCTGAGAGCAGCTTTTAAGATGTCAGCACCTGCTGATTATGAAGTTGCTAAAAGCTCCACAGAATGGCCGGCTAATAATCTGCTCCAGCGCTGAAGCGATCTCCTCACAGGCCTGATCTCATAGGGCAGCGTTCCAGACAGGTCATCGTAACTCAGGGCTAACACACGCACACAAAAGAAGCCTTTAGAGATAAAGGAAAGGCTCTGCTTGCCCTGAGACTAATCGAACATTCTTGAAAGTATTGGTATTTGTCTTTTTAAACTTAGTTTGTCTTAGTTTATTTGACAGTAAAGGTAAGGGAACATTCCTGCATGTTTATCAAGAGTCCCAGACTTTCCACTGCGGTCCTGATGTTCATCATAGATGATAACTGCAATTTGAGTCTAGCTCAGTCACATTTAAAAGAAAAAAATGGTTGATGTCGGGGAAAAAAACAGTTGTTGCAAAATCCGAGAAGGGTCTGGCTGCAGATATGCACTCTCAGCCTGACGTGCACCGCCAGCCTATCGATGACGTCAGTGCCGCTCTGCCACAACAGTGTTTGTCAGTTTTATGAGAAAAAACAGTGAAACACGAACTGCTGGGCAACAAGAGCTACACTGACTGTATATTAACATTGTCATACTGATAATAAGGTAATTAAATATGGAAACTTTCCAAATAAAACCTTCCACAACGATCAGACATGAATTTCGGGTTTATTTGCAAAAAACAAAAAGGCTACTGAAACTGATGAAAGCCCAGCTGAAGACGATTAAAACTGATTATCAAAACTGTAATATTGATTAAAATTGATTTTATTAAGGATTCTAGAAGGTTGTGACCACATACAATGTCGTACCGATTACCTTTGCTGTCTCGTCAACATCGTCAAAACCTCCTAGAAAGTTGTCAGACAACGTTGTTATGACTTTGTGACAATGTAGAGAGCACCAAGCAGACGACGCTGTGAGCACCAAAACAGTAGGTTGTCACAACGTAACTGTGTTTGCAGGGCCGTTAGGAGTAAAACCTGATGGTTTTGCTTCCTAACGGGAACTGGCTTGATGGTTGCTGTTAGAGGCCATTAGGAAATGATCAAATGTATGTGGAATTAGTCTCAGAACACCTGATTAAACGATCAGAGTCCTTTACACTGTGATATCAGCCCATCACAGAATATCATTAGCGATTTCTGAAAACCACCAGGAACCAACAGACACTTTTAATGGGTTCTATGATAACAGGGAAATTTATTGGATGTAACTCTCTAACCGTGTTATGACCAAAAAATGGATCAAGTGATGATGTCACTAAGCAGAAGCAGCCAAAAGTCACCGTGCCGTTGGGCTGCTTCTTCTGTTGTGACGTCACTGGGGCTGAGAGTGCATCTGACTGAGAGTGCATCTGACTGAGAGTGCAGGTCTGCAGCCAGACTCTATTGCAAAATCCAGTAATTTCTCTCCACAAGCCAAACGTAGGACAAAAGCATGGCAGTGTAGCCTGTGTAATGTGGTTAGCTTTTCTCCAAGAAAACTTGTCAGTGTTCTGGAGAAAACTGAGACTTAACTCAAAGTTTCAGCTCAGCAGAAAAATAACAGTGTCAGCCATTTGGGTGTTAAGGAGTGTCATCTCTCAGAATGAAAGAAACAAAAGAAACAAAATATAAGACCAAAATAGGAAAAGGAACCGTGGTAGCTGCAGACCCCTTATTTCAAAGGCCCCTGTTGGCGCTAAATAGGATGAAGCACTTCAGACTTCATTTACATCACTCTGACGTGGGCTTCAGATCTCAAGCAGCAAGTCGTTGGGCCGGTTTGAGATTTCGAGAACGGCCTCTCCGCAGTCTTCAATCAGCCATCATGAAAGAGCGCGGCTTAAGGATCCTCCAGGCAGCTAGTTGTCTAGCGCTGCCTTCATCCTCCAGGAATTTTTGCCTCACTTATTTCCATCCACCTTTTCAACTTTATTTTTTTTAAGGAAGCTGCCGCAGAACATACAAAATTATGTGTTGGAGGGGCTCTTTATCTTCGAAGACTGGCACACAGTCACCAGGCGGAAAAAAACCTTTATAGGGCCTTTTTTCATATTTAAAGGTCTCATGTGAACTTCAGTAATTCAATATTCATTATTTTGTGGTGGCAGAGCATCTTCTGTGTAACTGAAACGCTGCTGGAGGAAATGAGCTGAACCATTATTTACATTTTACCTCTCTATCTGTACCGAATGAAACCATGACTTCATGGATACTTTTTGTGGGACAGTTCAAGTAACAAACTTTCTTATTGGCTCTTAGGTACATAGCACAAGTGTGAGCTTGTTTCTGAATGGACAAGAGGAGGACAGCACAGCCCTGGATACTCAAACCCTCGTAGGCCCAGTCGCTGATGTCATCTCAGAAGGTGTCACTTGGATCGGACAGAGCTCCAATGGTAACTCAGCATTTTGCTTTCAGACCTTTAGATTCATATCACTTAAACCCTTTTTTGTGCCCTACAGCAGGAGTACACAAACTTTTGGATGCCAGGACTCATACGTAGAGTTAGTGTCTGGCCTGAAGCCGGGCGTACACTGTGCGATTTTTAGTCCGTTTTTAAGCCCGATTTGGTCGGAGCCGAATGAATTTCATGATCGGGCAGAATTTCAGCTTCATCGGCCGTCGTTTGCCGTGCAGTGTGAGAGGGGAAGCGATGCCCGATTAACTGCCCAAATGAGCTCTGATTGAGCAGTCGGACGATCGGATGGATTTCGGACATGTCAGAAATTTTGGTCGCTTGTCTCACAGTGTGAGCCGCCTCACGAACCAGTTTCTTAAAGTCGCACCCAAAACCTCACACAATCACCACCACCGCTCCAACACGGAGGCAAAAGAGTCCACATTTGCAGCACCAGCATCCGTATATGACGACTTTGCTCCGTTTGACTGAGTTGAATTGTGAGGTATAAATAAATACAGTGTGTTTGTCTTCGTAGAGCTGCCTGTTCTGCAGACCGCCTGCTCTTCAGCTTCAGTGCCCAGTGTGGCCCAATTTAGCAAAGCTGGTGTAGCGGTTTGTCAGTGGCTGAATCTCATATGGCCCCTATTTCCTATGTAGTGCACTAAGTTCTGGCTTCTACACCAAAATGCTGCCCTGTTTGTCCAGTATGGAACTGTGGACACACAGCTGAATATCAGAAGGCTATTTATTAGGCATGCGATGCACTTTATGGGTGCAGGAGCCACTATTTTAATATGTGGTGCACTCTGTAGGGAGCAGGGAGACATTTGAGATACAGCCAGTGTTTTGATCAGGACATCGGAGGCGCAGCGTGTTGAGAATGAAACAGCCTTATTGTAGACAGAGCGTCTGTAGGTGCTGCGTTTCACGTGCAGTGTGAGCACCCATGTCGCGTCAGGTCAGTCTGACCGAGTGTTTCCGTACAGTGTGAGCACATAAATCGCAGGGTTTTGCCGAACACGAGGGGCGATTCAAACGTACAGAGTGAGTCACCAAAGAACAAGATTTCTAAAATCACACAGGGTCTGTCTGACTTTAGACCCACCTGATATTTAATCAAGTAACGAGGCTATGTTCACATTGCCAGGCTGAAGTGGCACAAATCCAATTTTTTGCCCTAATGTGACTCAGATCTGATGTTTTCAGAGCTGTGTGGACACAAATCTGATCTTTTCAAATCCTACCTGAGCCACTTTCATATGTGGTCATAGATCAGATATGTGTCTGATTCGTGGCCATGTGACCTTGATGTGTCTCCTTCATCTCGCTCTAATACTGAAGCTGAGAGCTGATCAGAGTTAATTATCTTCACAGTGAAGCTCGTTTTGCTCGTTAGCCTGTTTGCTGGGGATGCACGTGACGCATTTTATTCATTCATGTGACGTTACTGAGTAGGATGAGCTCATGAGGGTCATTTCAGGACGCCGGTTCGTCACATTAATGACAGATTTGAGTCACTTACCTAAACGAATGTGAACCATCGTGTCAGAGATCAGATTTGAGCATAAAATCGGGTTTGAGCAATGAGGCTCGTAATGTGAACGTAGCTTTAAACTTTTCAGAAAGTTTTTTAGGATTTCAGTCCATTTTTACTTGATATTACTGTTCTCTCAGTCAACAAATGCAGTTAGAGCATCTGCGAAAAACCTGGATGTAAACACTTAAGTAAACATTGCCATGTCAGGTTTTTTATTTATTTCTGTTTTCTGATGGCTCTTCTCACATGAATCTGTAACATAAATTATATTTTGATTCTTCCGGTAATTAAAAGAGCGTTGCGGTCATACAGTGACATGAGACAGACAAATATGAACACATTAATACATTTCAGTCATATTTTTTGGACGGTCCACGTCTTATGCAAGTTTGTTTTGATCCATGTTTGATCCATGTTATCATTTATTTTAGTAACCCAGCTCTGTGCTCTGATCACCGCTGCTTTTGTGATAACAATCACTGAAGCTTCACTGGGAAATAACCAGTTGCGAGTGACAAACAGGTGTATTTTGTATGTGCTTTTCGTGGGATGTAGTTCACAGTAAAAAGCAAAAAAAAAACAGACTTTGTTTTTGTTATGTTTGCGTGACGTTCGATAACTCCACTTTGTGCTTTCCGTGCTTGGCTGGTATAAAAGGCTACACTGATAACACAGGTAACAAGGTGACAGTGTGACCCACGGTTTGAAAACACTACCCCACAGTGTTTCTACTGATCCATTTATATTCCAGTGAAAACCAAATTTCAGAAAATTTTATTCTATATCAAAGGTTCTGCTGCCTTTCTCAGCTGTTGGTACAGTGGGAGTTTGATTTCCTTATGCTTCATTGTAATTTTACCCATTTTTACTTTACACCTTTTTTATTACTTTTTATTACCATTTTTATATTATATGTATGTTCATAGGCCCCTGCCTGTCATATAATAATCACACTATCTGTTTGTTTGTCTCTTTATATGTCTGTTCATCTGTAACGGTAGCTAGCTTGTAATATTACTTCTTAATTTATAATAACTATGTTCTGTACAGACAGCCTGTAACACTATTAACATTCAGTGGTTCTCTGTGTTTGTTTGGTTGGAAACCTAAAATATTGCCAAACTGCTGCATTGGTTCCCCTGTTTTGGACAAGCTCATCCATTTTACTCTGCGCCACAGAGTAGATCTCATGTTTTGAAAGATTTAGTTTCGTTTGCATGTTCCTTAGCGTTTTTTCCCAGACTGAAAATCTACATTATAATCATTCAAAGTATAGCACCATTCAAAGCACAGTATATGTATGTAGTTCATTGCTTAGCCTGTATCTAAATGCAGCCTCTTCTACTGTATTCACTTTGTTTACAGTGGAAGGTTTGGACCCAGAGTCCCTGTAAAGCTGCTTTGTGACAACGCCTGTTGTCTTCAAATCCCTAAATCTTAGGGATAGTGTAACTGAGCAATGCTAAACCTGGATAAACTGCATAAAGAAATTAAATAATGAATTTAAAAATGCTTCGTTCTAAATCAATCAATCAATTGATCAATTATTCAATCAGTCACCTCTATGTGGCAAAAAATGCATATAAATGGGTCTATCAGGCTTTGTTTCTTACTGTAGAAAAGACCAGTTGGAGAATGTAAAATATGGATTATCATCATATGCACTTTTTTACTAATCATTGCAGATTCATTAAGAGGATAGGTTTTGGTTTATTAACATTATTTTTTAGTATTTTTAGTCAGAATGCTTGTCCACGCCCTACAGACGTATACACCAGTCAGGCATAACATTCTGACCACCTCCTTGTTTCTACGCTCATTGTCCATTTTATCAGCTCCACTTACTATATAGGTGCACTTTGTAGTTCTACAGTTACAGACTGTAGTCCATCAGTGTTACTGCAGTGCTGAGAATGACCCACCACCCAAATAGTACCTGCTCTGTGAGGGTCCATGGGGGTTCTGACCACTGAAGAACAGGGTAAAAGGGGGCTAACAAAGTATCAGAGAAACAGATGGACTACAGTCTGTAACTGTAGAACTACAAAGTGCACCTATATAGTAAGTGGAGCTGATAAAATGGACAATGAGCGTAAAAACAAGGAGGTCATAATGTTATGCCTGATCGGTGTATTGCTTAAAAGCACAGAGGTAAGCTTGTCTGTCCGTCAGTCCATCTGTCAGTGATGCTTACAGTTCAGTAAGTAGAGTAGAGTAGGTAGCTGTGCTTCCTGCCACCCAGAGCCCTTCTAACCTCTGTTGGTGTACAATATACTAGTCAACAAGGTATGTGATCGCTTGCCAATGTCTGAGGAGACACATGCAGGCCTTTGTTATGGTACTCATATGACGAAGGGAAATGTTAGACTGGTAACCGGCCACAACTGCATGGCATACAGGGGAAAATGGCTAAAAAATACATTGTATTAACGTTACCCTTATTTTAAATTAATTTACACATACCAAATTTTCTTGAAAGGCAAAAAGGGCACACTAATTTGCAAAGGTGGCACATTTTTTCATTACAGAAATATCCGTAAGCCAGCAACTAATCATATCTAGGGGTTTACGTAGGCCAAGGGTGACCATATGGCCACACATAATCTGTTCATAAATGAGATGAGATGGGATTTCTGCAATGCCCACAGACAAAAAATGCATTTGAATACATATTTCTGAATGGCACAGACTAAATAGATGTCAACCCTGTTACCTTTCTTTCTGGAAGGTTCCTTCACATGGATTTTCACTGCAGGAGTTTTCTCAGTCTCCCCGGAGATGTCTGTTATTAATCTGTTTTCTAATGCTGATTAGATGATACTTTATAGCTTTATCAGGCCTCATTAGCTAGACGTCTGGTAATACTGCTGCCACAAAGTCCCGTAAGTGACACACTTCGGTTCTTTAGCGGTTCTCTATGTAGATATTCTCCCTTTTTTTTTTTTCGTGTTTATTGTGAATAGCATGTACCATGCAAGTTAGTGCCTATAAAGAGTAGCTGAAAACACACGCTCCAAGCCCAGCAAGTGTCTCTGGTGTAACTTCAAAGTTCCAGTTAATGTAATCCTGTTTACACACTTTTTTCTACTCTACGACCAAAGCCCAGGCAATCCTGTTCTTTTCATGTGGAGCTTGGACGTGGGCAAAGCATAGCAGGTGCTTTTACAGTCTCTCCAGGAGAGCCAGAACACTGCCATTAAAATCTTTTAACTGAACATGTTTTAACCTCTTATGCTCGTGGCTATATTTCAGTTTTTCCATCTGAATTTACGTGCCCAAATCATAAGGCAAATTATTGAGTAACTGCATGAAATAAATGTAAATTTTAGTTTAGTTTTTTTTTTTTTTGTAAAAGTTCCCCTCAAATAAACAGAAAATGTTTTCTGATCATAAACATGAAGCCATATGCTTACAATTTACTGCTGGAAGCCAAAAATCTTAGACACTCATCCAGTTTGTAGCTCAGATTTGTGGAAAAATGGGTCGACTCTCAGTAGACAAAAAAATTGTGAGTTCAGCTTCTTTTATTATAAAGTTTTAAAACTACATTACCCATCTATTTGACTGGAGAGAAGACAGTTACAGCTCTCCTATCACACCCACCTTTTGAATGAAGCTTATAAAATATGAAAGTAAGGAATATGACGAAGTGCGTTTTGGGACCACCGGTTCCAAGGAGTTTAAAAAGGTTAAAGGGGAATTCCACCGATTTAAAAAATAAATAGAATAAAATCTGCATAAATCAACTGTTTATGTGTAAACAAAGTAATTCAGAGTGGTCTGATGTGAAATGGTGTAGAGAAACTTACCAGCTTGGATTTCTTTTCAGTGGTGCTGATAGGAACCAGAGGTTAGAAAGTCTGTAGTGTAAATATAGACATTTTATTTGCTATCCAGAATCACCAGTGAACCTACTTGTCTTTTATCTATCAGTTTTTAGACAAATAATGTTAATAATGGAACAAAAAATTATCTTCATTTTCTTTCTTTTTTTCTTTGGGGACTGTGTTGCCTTACAACACCCTCTTCACTATGAATGAATTTTTTTCTTTTAAATATGTTTTAAGCCAAAATCTTATCGCAAAACGACCGTAAAACAACGTCTTTGTGTTCTTTACCTTTAACCAGCTTTTAGAGGCATTAAACACTTCGGATGTCTGGTTCAATTTTTTTTGTGCAAATAGAATTTTAGAAATGTGCCATTGACAGACATCTGGTTCCTATGGTTACCACTGTAATCGAACGCGGCAAGTTTATCTAGAATGGAGCACTTTCACATCAAATTACTCATTAATGAACTTTGTTTACGTCTTAGCAGTTTCATCATGCAGAAATTTTTATTTGGTGGAATTCCATTTTAAACAGCCTTGAAGTAACTTATGTTGTTTTATGTTAAATTGGTGTGTGTGTGTGTGTGTGTGTGTGTGTGTGTGTATCTCTCTCTCTCTCTCTCTCTCTCTCTCTCTCTCTCTCTCTCTCTCTCTCTCTCTCTCAAACATATGTCACTGCACTGTTCTCTTTGACAGCCATCCAGTGGCCTAACAAGTAACAATTGCCTTTGAGTAGAATAAGCGAAGCGCTCGAGCAGCGCAGATAATGTCAGCTGTGGCCGCTTGTCAGTCAGCTCTGCCTTATCATACCGCAGATCTCAAGTTTAATTATCATTTCGAGCCTCGTCACATTCACCTAGAAAGCTCACTCAGCAGGGCACCTGTCTTACCTTGTTTTAAAATCATACCCCCTTAAAACCCAGCACAATGCAAAATCACTATTTGTTCATTGTCATGCTGCCTTTCTGTTGTACAAGACCAAAAAATTGCTATTTGCAGATAACAGGAGTACAAATACAGTATGCCAAGATGTCATATCTATGCAACGTCTTAATCAGTTTTCCATTAGGCTGAGTGAGCTGGTCTTATCTTATAAAAGAGGTGGCAAGCACGTCTGGGCTTTACTAACCATGCTCCGCTTCCCAGCCAGTGGGATTACATCTGACCGAGACCTGCAAATAAGCGCAATAGATCCCACCATGCAGCAAGTGTCTCTGTTAACACAAATAAAGGCACAGATAAGGTAATCCACTGGCTGCTATGGATCCTGCAGACGGTCTTCAATAGCAGCCTTTGACGTTTCTTTTTTTCCCCAGGGTCCAATCAATTCATTGGGAGGATGCAGGATTTCAGATTTTATCCCCAGACTTTAACCAACAGGTCAGTGGTATTGAAACATGGGTCTCAGTCAGGGATATAAAACATATATCTGTGCTGACTGTTAGAGCGAGGCCTGCAGTTTGGGCCATAAAAAAACACTAATAACACAGTGATGTTAATTTCTATTAGTGCTGTTATGGGATTTCTAACAGTATGTTAGCTCTAAGCTAATGCTGGTGCATTGCTGTCATGCCAAACCTTATTAAACTGAATTACATTTTTTTGTTATTTTTTAATATAAAGAGATTTTCAAAAGAATATCGACTAAAGTTTATACTAACAAATAATAACACATTTTTATTAATATTAATCATTATATAGCAAGGATATTGCTTGTAATCTCAACAACTTGTACCTTAAAAAATAGAAAATTCTTGAAAGTAGTCTATAATGAATTTGCATCGAAACCATTTAGAATCAATAAAATAATAAAACTTTAGTTTTATTGTTTTGCATGATTTGAAAACACCAGCTACTCTTTGTTGTGTGAACATTTCATGACGAAAGCGCCAATATAAATGGTCCTTACCAATTCAGTTGGCAATTCAGAGATATAAGATTTTATTACAGCTACGATGTCATTAATAATTCGAAAAATAGCCGGTGTAAACACAACGATATAAAATAGCGCTGCCTGCAAAATGTACATCAGCACATTTTATGAATATTAATTTTTTCTGCTTGTGTGCACCTGAATGTCACAGAGAGATAGAGAAAGTGTACTCCGGGCGACTCCCTCACTTCCATGCCCAGCCGTCCTGCCGCTGTCCCCCCAGCCACCCGAGAGTGCACCCTCTAGTGGAGAGGTACTGCATCCCCAACGCGGCGGACGACACCACCAACAACCGCGTGCTCCGCCTCAACCTGGATGCCCATCCGCTACACTACATCAATGACAACGACATTGGCACCAGCTGGGTCTCCTCCATCCTCTCCACCCCAGAGAAACTGGACGAGGGACTCACCATCACCATAGACCTGGAGAATGGACAGTATCAGGTATCGCATATACCTAACTGTCTCAGTGCTTCCATAGTGTTGCGCTTAGAAAAGACGTCCTGTGAGATTAATAAGGGTTGTGCTGAAAATAGCAATTTTTTTGGGCTCACATAGTTATTCATTCTTTTGTTTTATAGCAGAGACTAACAATAATATGTTGCTATCAGGATGTTGGTATTTAATTTGCTCCCAGAATCCTAGGAATCTTGGTTTGGCACAGTTTAACTCAATTATAAAGACAATTATATATAATTTTTTTTTTATTATTATTTTCATTTTATACTTAGTTTTAGTGAAACAGTATTTGATAATAATGTGTCTTCACGAACCGACTACAGGGTGTTTGGCACTCATGGCTTATTGATGCGTGAGGGCAAAGAAGGCCATCCAGTCTGGTCAGACCTGACAGATGGGCTACTTTGACACAAGCCACAGAATTTTTTCATAATTGTTATGTGAGGAATGGGTCACAAAAGATGTCACAACACAGTGCACCACTCCCTGCTGGCGAATGGCATTGCAAAGCTGCAGACCATTCATAGTCCACATGCTAATCCGTGTCCACTATACAGTGGGCACACAAGAATTGGAACGGGACCTTGGAGCAATGTAAGAAGGTCACTTGGTCCAAAGAGTCCCATTTTCTTTTACATCATGTGAATTGCTGAGGACGTGTGTGCTGTTTACCTTGGGAAGTGGTGGCATCGGGATGCAGCGTAGCAGGAAGACAAACAAGTGGAGGGAGTGTGATGCTCTGGGCATTGTTCTGCTGGGAAGCCATAGGTCCAGGCAGACCAGGCACACTCCTTCATGGAAGAGCCACACTGCACACATTGTTCAGGAATGGTTTGAAGAACATGACGAAGTATCCAGATTCCCCGGATTTCAGAAGAAGTCCAATCCATGGCGACTCCACCTCGGCTCCAACTTACAGGACTTAAAGGATCTGCTGCTAATGTCTTACAGGTCTTGTAGAGTCCATACCTCGATGGGTTGGAGCTTTCTTGGTGGTACACAGAGGACCAACAGCATATAATGGTCATAATGTTTTGGCTCATTGGTGTATGTAAGGGAACCTCAGGGTTAGGGTTATGTTAGTAACCGATTCCAAACATTTCAGCCCACTCTACAATTCTCCCGACTCCACAGATTACCTGCTCCACCATTGCTGCGGTCCGTGGTTCAGATGTGTACGGTTTGCTTCTGTTGCTAACAAACAAAACTGCCAGTGTTCTCCCAGCCCCCCAGATGAGTGCAGTACTCTTGGAACAGTTATCCAAGTCTTAAAGCTGGAGACCTTAAGGCTTGTATGTTTGTCTCAGCTCCCTGAACGCCTTTTAGTTTGCAAATCCGGAGTCTTGGGACCCTCTCCGCTGTTCAAACAAGCAGACGGCAAGTTCTTTAAGTGTGTGCAAGTGAGAGTGAATGTCTAAGTTCCCTAGTCATCTGCGTAGCTAAGCCATGCAGAGGAAAGAGTCCAGCTGAAAAGCGCTAGTGGATTTAGGCAGCTCTGTGGCAGTCGAGTCTCCTCTCAACGATAGATAAAACACACCGTCACACAGCCTTTGAAATGTCCACTTAGTCAAAGCTGGGACCAGTTTCTCCACCAAAAAAACCCTCTGAATTAGTTACAGAGAAAGAGAGAGGGGGGGAAAGGGACCAAAGCAGGCAGGAGCCGGCTTCAAGCTGTTCTTCACAGCAGCGGTGCGCTCGAGAAGTCAGCCGAGCGTTGACTGTGGCGGTGCAGATAATAGATAATCCATTGCTGTTTAGTATTTCATGCATATTCCTCCCCCGTCTAGCGATTTAGCACGCTCTCCTTTGCAGGTTTTCTACGTGATTCTTCAGTTCCAGAGCGCCCAGGCCGAAGCGGTGCGGATTCAAAGGAAAACCAGCGGCGGCTCCGGATGGAAAGACTGGCAGTACCTGGCCAAAAACTGCAGCTTTTTTGGGATGGAGGATAACGGGCCTTTGGACAGGCCTGATTCTGTCAACTGTCTCCAGTTTCCCAGGTACTCACTCGCTCTCACTCGCTCTCGCACAAACATAAACGCAGACACACACACCGGTAGTCCACCCACAGAAGCTCCACGCGCTGATAAGAGTCCTTCAGCAAGTGTCTGGTGCCAGCTAAGCTGCATCAAAGTGGGCCGAGACAAGGTTCCATGTTTGATGGAGGCAGTGGATTGTGGGCTAGCAGGAAGTCTAAGAGCTTTGGGGGATCTGAGGCGAGAGAGTGGGCAAATCTGCTGCTCTTGGCTCCACTCCAATCCGGCCACTTCAGAGCTCTGCTGGCTGAACCAAGAGAACAGGAGTTACTTAGCTGCTTTGAAACCAGTGTATACACACACACACACACACACGCGCTCACACTAGAGCTGGGCGATGTATCATCTCTGCCAGTATTCCAGTACTGATGTACAGATTTTTAGATAGATGAGCTGCATTGTATGCTCTTTGCTTGGTGCTTCAGATATTGTCGCTGTCCAATAAAAACCATGTATCTCCATTTTTGTCAATTTTTATTTTTCTGCATCATTTCAACACACGAGCTGTCCTTTATGATGTGTGAATTTCATGATGATTGGACAAATAGAAATGCTTCAAAATCACTTGGAGTGAATCCTCTTTACATTACCTTACATTGAAAGGTAAGTGTTTTTGCCCTCTCCTGTAAAGTTACTTTTTTGGAGATACTTGGTTTTTCTTTGGACAGCGATGATATATTTCAAATTACAGTTTAATACACATAAAAAAACTGAGTAAATGGTGACTTCGCGTTCTGGAAATCTGATTTCCGTCTTTTAGAGCAGTAAGCAGTAAGCAGTATTAGCAGTTGCTTAAGGCCCCGAGTATGTATGGTGCTGTGCAAAAGTCAGAGACCGCCCTTCGTTTATTTGATTTCTATTCAGAGGTTGTTAAGTACAAGTTTTTTTTTTTCAGGAGATTAAAAACCATAATAAGCATTTAAAATTCTGAAAAGAAAAAAAAACTTAAAAAAAGCCTTGTGCATGTTTTATGTAGTAAAAACATGGCAGCACACAGAAAGCTCCAGTTCTTCACACTGAAATTAATAAAATTGTTTTACTGTTACCAACGTAAAACCTCTGCTGGCAGATTCAAACAACCCTTCTGTTTACTGCGGCCTGGTACTGGGCTCTTTGGGTGCATGTTGTTAAAAGATATAGAGAAAGTGGTATTTCCAACAACAGTGCAAGACCCGGTCTATCACTACTTAAAGCTTGGAGAGAGGAGAAAATCAGGCTTCTCCTGCTTCAGATCTAAAAATATACACAAATGTTTTGTCCATCCTTCCATTAGACAGCGCTATGGGTCTGAAATTATGTGTAGCTGTCAAGAAGCTCTTACTGAGAAAATGAAGTAACCAAAGAAATCAAACAAAGAAGCTGCTGGTGTTCCCAGACCAATGGACTGACCACCCCAGAGTCCAGATCTCAACATCACTGAATGTGGATAATAGGAAGCACAAAATACAAACAACTTCTAAGACTGAACTTTGGAGGTGTGGAAAAATATCCTTGCAGATTTCTTTAAAAACCTGAAAGCAAGTCTCATGAGAAGAATGGAAGCTGTAATAAAGACAAAGTGTCGACACACTAAATACTAAAAATCCTATATTTAGTTGTTGATGCTTCAGAATAATATTCTGTTAAATACAATTTTTCTTCCTGAAGCAGAAATGGAAATTATACAAATGAAAGCTGGTTTCTGACTTTTAGACAGTATCGTATCATCTATACTGCTATTTTCTTTAGTGTAATATAATTTGCTGGGTCCTTTTAAATACGTTGGAAACTGCAGTTTACAACACAAAACCAAATAAATAGTAATTTTCCTTTCTGAAGGCCTGATTTCTAACTGTTTACATTTATAATACAGTGTAAGGCTCCCTTTGTTATAATTTTAAGAGAAGCAGAACAGGTTGAAAAGTATAGACTTAAAAAATTTAGACAAAAAAGAATTTAAGCATCATCTGACACTGTGAATCTACCACTGCCCAGCATTAACACACGTTCACAGACAAACAGGCCCACAATGCCTCTAATCTGGGTCTAAGGCTGCTGCACCACAGGGGACTTTTCTGACTTCTCTTTTTTATTGTCATAAAAGACGTTATGCTTGAAAGAAAAAGGATAGTGTCCCAAGTGTGGTGGCACACTGACATAATGCACATCGGTTTGATGTGGGTCATATTTATTTTTAAAGCTGGCCGTTATGGCAATGCTTCCTTGGGGCGATGCAGTGCAGGCCAGATGTTGTAACACCTTAAATGCCTGAATATTTCAACACTAAAGCAGACTGCTACCTGTCGTGGCAGTGTGTCCTACTCCTAGCATGTTCCATCAAGTCACGTCAAGCAAGAGAGCAGAAGGTCGGAGAGGAGACAGAGATGTTAAATCCACAGTTTGTTGTAAGTTTTGCTAAGGATGCATTTCTGTTAAGTGTTGTTGTGATTCTTTACAGCAGTTAATTCTGGCCAGCTGATTGAGAACTGGTTGAGAAGCGTTCTAACCGTGCTATTTCGCCATAACAGCACGTTTTGTTCACAAACACTATCACTCCGCTGAGACGCCGTTGCTAAGCAATGACTTTGACAGCTGTAGGAGACGCTCAAGACATTTGAACGTTTGTACTTCTTACTTTGCCACAAACAGAAAATGGACACTTTTTAAGATCACGTCTGACCAACAGCCGATTTGGTCAGACTCTGAAGATGAGACGACACTAAATTCCCAAACTGTCATCACCACTGAGCAGCTTTTCAGTCGGCAGCTGAGACAGAAGAACAGCTAAACAACCTGGAATCAGCCAGAAATGAACCCAACACCATTCGCCAAACTAAATGGGCTGTAAGATGCTTTACAGACTGGCTGGAACAAAACAACATTAATACTGATCTGGAAAAAAACTGACAAAACTGAGCTGAACTTGATATTGTGGCAGTTTTATGGCTCAGTCTGTACTTCAGAAGGCGAGGCTTACAGCAGACTGAGCAGCGAGTGGGCGGAGCTCGTTACTCTGACGTAGCAACAAGCTGCTCGTTAAGGAACTATAATTTGGTGAAGGAACTGCGAACATTAAAACATATTAAACGCCGCGTTCACGGCCCAGTTTATTAATTTCTTACTTTATTTATTTAACTGTTGTATTAAAGCAGTAGAACACTCGAGGAGTGTGTTATCGCCAATAACATCACACAGTATGTAAGTGAGCTTGTTGGCATAGTGTAGTGAGCAGTGCTGCACTTCTGCCCGCCAGACAGTGGACTGGGGTTCAATTCCCAGCCCAGGCATGTACACCACCCTATACCAACAAGACTCTTTGGTCAAGACTCCTGACTCTACATTAGCCAACCCCTGTAAAAACGATCAAATTGTAAGTTGTTCTGGAAAAGTTTAAGCTTATTATATTTAACACCCTATTTGAAGGACTTTTATTTAGGGACTTCATAATATAGGCAAAAACATAAAGCAACATATTTATAAAGCGAGTCTTTGTGAAGTAAGTGATATTGTTCTGATATAAGGTTCCTTAAACTAAAGTAATGAACATTTATTCCATTTATAAAACTGTTATGACAAAGCCTTGTTAAGTACACTGTATATCAGTTCTGTGTACTTATTAAAGTACAAAAGAGTTAAAACTGCTGCCACAAAAATATATATTAATATGGATATACTTTTATATTTTTTGTCTTTGCAGCCACACAGGTTTTCTTAATAGGAACTGTTTGTCAAAATAATGTGAAGATTAACAATAATAATAATTACTTTTGATACTTAAGTACACTAAAAGCAAGGAATTTGTACTTTTGTATTCAAGTATGAACTTCTGCATCTAATATTTTACCATATTTGTTTATGAACTTGAGGAAAAGTATAATTTTTATACTTTTTCCACCACTGGTATTTACATATGTATGAGAACTGTCACTTATATTTGAGGGCATCAGCATCTTTTATAGAACTGATTTAATGATGTCCTTATTAGGCCTTAAGTTCCTTTACTTGGGAGTGATACTTTGTAGTGATACATTGTAACAGCATTGGAATGGAATATTCATCACTTTAGTGCCAATACTGTCATTATGTCATTTACTTGATATAAGTTCCAGTTTTGTTATACACCGATCAGGCATAACATTCTGACCACTTCCTTGTTTCTACACTCATTGTCCATTTTATCAGCTCCACTTACTATATAGGTCACTTTGTAGTTCTACAGTTACAGACTGTAGTCCATCTGTTTCTCTGATACTTTGTAGCCCCCTTTTACCCTGTTCTTCAGTGGTCAGGACCCCCATGGACCCTCACAGAGCAGGTACTATTTGGGTGGTGGATCATTCTCAGCACTGCAGTAACACTGACATGGTGGTGGTGTGTTAGTGTGTGTTGTGCTGGTCTGAGTGGATCAGACACAGCAGTGCTACTGGAGTTTTTCAACACTGTGACCACTCACTGTCCACTCTATTAGACACTCCTACCTTGTCGGTCCACCTTGTAGATGTAAAGTCAGAGACGATAGCTCATCTGCTGCTGCACACTTTGTGTTGGTCATCCTCTAGTCCTTGATCAGTGGTCACAGGACGCTGTTGACTGGATATTTTTGGTTGGTGGAATATTCTCAGTCCAGCAGTGACACTGAGGTGTTTAAAAACTCCAGCAGCACTGCTGTGTCTGATCCACTCAGACCAGCACAACGCACACTAAAACACCACCACCACGTCAGTGTTACTGCAGTGCTGAGAATGATCCACCACCCAAATAGTACCTGCTCTGTGAGGGTCCATGGGGGTCCTGACCACTGAAGAACAGGGTAAAAGGGGGCTAACAAAGTATTTTTATTTATTTATTTTTTCTTATTTTTCTAAACATATCCCCTTTGTACAGCACTGTGGGTTTAAATGTGCTTTGTAAATAAATACTTACTTCTGGAGTGCCTTCAAGAGTGCCATTCACACCAGACATCCAAAGAACATAGCTGAGCTGAAGCAGTTCTCTGAGGAAGAACGGTCCAGTGTTCCTCTTAAATGTTATGCAGGTCTGATCCGGAGGGGTCACATATTTTTCTTGAATTACTGTCACAAAATGTAGATACGTATTCATAATAGGATATTTTTATCCATGTTATGTAGCTCAGGTTTTGCTATAGGTTTTTACTATAGTTTTTATTTGTAGTGTTAAAATGTTACTGTCCTTTGGCAGAGAGAGAGAGAGAGAGAGAGAGAGAGAGATGCCAACAAATCAAACTGAACAGGAGACCGAGAGAGACTGTGAGCATATGGGGGCAGTAAAGGTGGGGGCAGCAGACAGCGGGCGATGGAGGTGGAAGATCCAGCCCTGCTTTGTCCTGGTTAAGTCCGTAAGCATTAAGAGTCAGGCACAGAGAGGAGCGAGGCCTGGCTCTATTCTGTGGCGGAGGCTGAGCGCTGAATAATGCAGAAGGTTCCCGCACCTGTCCCAGCCCGGTGGAACCGCCTGACGACCCGTCTCGCATGCGGCCCTCAGCCCTTCAAACCGCTCTCCCAAACTCTGCAGCTCTGCTGTGCGTTTTAAAGCCACGCTATGCCGTTTGTTTTGGTACTCAGTTCTTCAAAGAGAGCAAGTTTCAAGTTTCAGAACCGTTTTTGCCCTTTTGTTTTAAGTTTTTGGTTTGTTTCATTTTTAATGAGACAGCTTTAATCTACAATGTCAATCCAGAAAAAACGTCCCTGACTGTTTTTCTTCCCGGATTGTCTCCCCTTTTTAAATATCTTGTACACTTTCAAGACAAAGCTGTTTTGAAAAGTACATATGCTGATGAAGTCAGAACTGTGTTGTATATGGGTCATGTTAGTAAGTAAGTTTTGATGACCCACAGAACTGATTCCATTATTGGAGTCCTGTGAAAAATGCCACACTATTTTGTTAAAATTGGAAAATAATGTGTGGGGGATTCATTCATAAAAAGTTAAAGACAATACTGTTTTTAAAAGCATGGGTATACTGACAAAATCAAAACTGCATAACACTTGGGTCATTCTACACTGACTCACCTTGACCATGTCTGGTCATGTCATGGATTTCCATAAAAACAAAATCAAGCAAAAACTGCAGTTCAGTTCTTGCAGCCCTAATTAGTTTTTAGTTAGGAATTTTAAAGGTTGTCCCATGAGATTCCTAAATTCATCTAATTTGGCTGTTTTCACACCTCAAACTTTTCTTTTAGTTTGGTCTGTTTTGACAAGTGTGCACAGTCCAACATGCAGGTGTGCACCAAGCAAATGAATTTGAGAGAGTGGAGAACAAATTCTAAGGGATCTGAGGCCATGTGGACTCGTCAGCTCATACCACAGGTTTCCTATGTAGTTTAGGAAAAACCTTGTGGGCATTTTTAACCGGTTAGCTATTTTCTTGTAGCCATTTCCTGATTTGCAGATAAACAACCTTTCATAGCACATCTTTGCTGTATTCTCTAGTGTTTCTCATAGTGATGGATAGTAATGGAATTTAGCCTGTGTGCCTCCTCATGTTTATACCCTAGTGAAACAGAAAGCGATAGACACCTGGAATCCTTTCTTTGCTGCAAGTTCAATAATACCTGGGCTCAGTTTCTGAGCTGCTGTGCTCATGCTAGGTGTTTTATGTTGGTTGAACTGCAGCTGAAATGCATTTGGTCATATGACTGGTGTGGAATTGCATAGAATTGTGTAGAATTGAGGTGTAACCACTGTCCCACAGATGATAGTTGGGGTAGGAGAGTCAGAGCGCACAACACGTTGCAGTGCATGCTGGGGATTGTAGTGCAGCTCAATGCGAAATGGGCTAATATTAATGGAAAGGATTGTGTGGCGGGCCTGATCTGGCCCACAGGCCTTGTGTTTGACACGTTTGGTCTACAGTGTCAGTGAAAAGAGTTTTCATTGATGGCGTAAGTGTGTTCAGAATGACTGTATTCTCAGGTATACATGTTCACTTTACTTTAACTTTTTTGTTTCATGTATCTACGTTTAAGGCTGCTCATATGCAGCTGTAATGTTTCTCCTGTCTCTCCTTTCCTCAGTGATGTCCCTTACTCTCGCGGCAACATCACCTTCAGCATGCTGACCCCAGAGCCCAACCTCCGCCCCGGCTACAACAACTTCTACAGCAGTGCCACCCTGCAGGAGTTTGTGAGAGCCACACACGTGCGCATCCATCTGCAGGGCCAGTACCACACACGAGGTGCCCACGTGCCCTTCCGCCATCGCTATTACGCAGTGGACGAGATCACCATCAGTGGCAGGTCAGGGTCCTCCTTCCCCTCATCTTCCCCTCACCGTACCCAATTAACCATCCACACAACCTAATTTCACCCTTTTAATGCTTTATTGCTACTTTGTATATCTGAAGCAGAGAACATGCTGTAATTGGAGCAGTTTCTCTACAATGCAGACAGTTTCACATCAGACCTCTCTGAATGACTTTATTTGCATCGACTGAATTATGCATTTTGAAAAATTGTTGGAATTCGCCTTTAAATAATTCTGTTAAATTCACCAAATTTTAGCTGTTAGTTTCTGATTAGTGCTGTGTATCATTCAGGCTTTTTAGATACTGATACTTTGACTTTAATACAAATTTTTGAATATTTTTTTAAATTCCTTTGAATTACAAACCATGGACGTGGGTGTGGCTTATGCCATAAATGAGCCTGAGGTGCTAAAAGTGGGTATCTGTACTGACCACAATGGACTGGAGAGTAATGAAGAAGTGCTGCCGTTAATAACATGCATAAGACGTCATTTAGCCAGTCAGGGCCGTGTTACAGAAACTTCCTATCCTTTTGTCTTAACTGAAGATCCGACAGGTCGAGAGAAGGTTTTTCACTAATTCGTATTACAGAAGCAAATTTGATCTTAATTTAGGAATCTTATCTTACAGCATCTTGTCTTTTCTCAAGTTAAGAAATGAAAGTCGACAATCAACTGTCGTGTCTGTTACCTAGCAACCGACCCCACGCGCACAGCCGAAATGTAAACATGTAATCGAGTTAGTTAGCCAGACAGCTAACGTTAGCTACCGTTACTGATGTACAAAAAAGGTCAAATAAAACTAGAGAGCGTCACCGCTCCCCAGTTTCAGTCTCCATTTCCCAAACGCTTTAGCCGAGCGCGCTAACGTTACTCCTCCTAATAAACAGACACACGTTCAGCTCCGTCTCCTCATTATTCACCACCATCACTGTAATATTTCATCATCAACATTAACACACGAAGGCAATCAGAGGGGCGGTGGAGATCGAGTCTGCAGAGTCTGGGGTTTTAAACACTCTTAGAAAATAAAAGTCAAACCACCGTTTTCAGTGCAGATAAATGTAGCGTTATTATGCTAATTAAAGTGAACAATGCTGCCTCACGCTGCACAGGACGATAGAAACACACGGTTAAACAGAAGGTAAGACGCTCCGGAGTTTCTCCTAAAGTTAGGACACTATTTAGGAGGTTTAGTCTAGTTAGGATGTTTGTGATGCTGTTTTCTTATCTGGAGTAAATGATGAGATTATGAACCTAAGAACTGTTGTTCTGTAACAGCTCCTGTCCTAAATTCAGTCCTAACTGAACTTGTTGAAGTGGTGACTGAGCAGATAAGATTTAAGTCTTAAGAGGTTTTTGTAATACAGCACCTGCAGCCTAGATTTTGGAACTAGAAAATATATATATATGTATATATATATATATATATATATATATATATATATATATATATATATATATATATATATATATATATATATATATATATATTTTATTTATTTTTTTATTTTTATTTTTTATGGAATATACCGATGCTTGATAGTATTGAGGTAATTCAGTCTGTACCATAGTACCCAGCCCTATTTGTAATGATGAATACACTTCCTTTCTCACTGTTGCACTGTATTGGACAAATGCATATAATGTTATATTGCGCTAAGTACAGAGCAGTAAACTCTCTTGTAGGCTAATCTATTTGCAAGACATTTGTCTTTGTTTCTTTTTTTCCTCAATCCACCAGCAGAACCGTGTCGTGTGCATGTACACTCTGTTCCGTTAAACTCTCACTGCTCTTATGTTGCGGTGCCTATGGTAATTATGTCATTATGCAGGCAGCACGCTGTCGTCTTGGAGCGCGCGTGTGTGTAGAGGCAGCATTAATTAAGAGCTAGTTAAAGTGGCGCGGGAGAAATTGAGGTTTAGAGACTGTGAAATCTCATCATCCTTTGACATTCAGAGGTGCGCTCTCTCTCTCTCCCTCTCTCTGTGTTTCTTTTCCTATCTTTCTTCCTCTCTTTCCCCTTTTGCTTTCCATCTTGTCGGAGAAGTCACGACAGCCTTCGCTGGAGAGACAAAGGCAGTGAGAGAGAGAGAGAGAGTAAACAGTAGTGGATTCCCCCTCTGGGAGACTGACAGTTCAAACTCTGCGGAGGCTGCGAGTGCATGTCTGCGTGTTGGGGGGACTAAAATGTGTGTAAATTCTGCCTTTGAGGTATTCTGACAGGGTGTCAAGCTGCGTCTGCGAGCATTAGTGTCAGCTTTGTACTCTCGCAGTAATAACCTCCAGCCATAATGACAGCCCTCTCTCTCTTTCCCTTTCTCTCTCCCTCCTTTCCTCTCTCTACTCCTTCTCTGCTCTCAGCTTTTGTTTGTCTGTTATGTTTGTCGGCCTGATGGAGGTGAAGGGCCGGGCTTTTAAGCGCGGCCGGGGCGGAGCCGCCGCTGAGCGCGGGCCCTTTTTGAGGATGAATAATTAAAGGATTGACCCGCAGGTGCCTGCGCCGTCTGATGGAGACCTGTCAGCTTCTCTGTTGAACATTACAACACGCCGTTGATATTTCCGCTGGCATTTATAAATGTTGAATGGGGACGTCCTATTAGCCATGCATAGAGAGAAATAATGGAGAAGGAAGAAGAAGTGGGGAAAGCCGGAGACGGACAGAAAGATGTAGAAAATCAGACAGGAGGTGGAAGGCAGGTGTTTTGAGGCGAGAGAGGGAATGAGTCACGCGTTAATGTTGGTTGGTAAATCCTGTTGCTTCATTGATGGAAAGAGCACCGTACAGAATTAGAATTCAGTTCAGTTTCAGTACAAACATTGTCGCAAAGCAGCTGTCTAGAAATCCAGGTCCAGCCTCCTAATGAGCAGTGCCAAGGAAGGATTTATTAGGGGGACATGTATGGGCTACAGTTGTGCACAGGCACCTAATATGAACTTGTTTAAGCAAATGAGGTGCCAGTGTTGAAATATTGAAAGCAATATTTGGGTATCATTTATGTTTTAATATGAGAAAACATACAGAAATATACAGGCCCAAAAATCAAAGATGTTATGCTTTAACGGGGCCGTAAACTGGGACAGTTTTTGTATTTTTGAGTAAGTGTGGATATTATATTACACTTTGCTATTTGCCAAGTTAACCCTTGTGTGGCGCTGATGTGTTTGTTACTCACCACATTATTGGATTTTTAAATCAGTGCAGCCATAACAATTTAACTAAACTACCAGATGTTTAAAATATCACAATGTGCAGTATAGGGTTCTCCTTTAGCAGCTGTAGCCAGTCAGCAGCCTGTCCATGTTGTCCACCCTCACACACACACACATTTAAACACATACACATGTTTAAACAAAGTATGCAAGCTTAGTTTGACTACATTTATTTGAAATGATTATTATATATGTGTGAAAGCTCGCACAATTAAGATTAAGGCAGTTTTTCAGCATAGAAATAATGTATTGTTCTGTTGTTTCCAACCTGTCTAGTTTTGACTAGCTACAACCATGTAGTCTATGTGATCAATAGCGTAGCTATGGGCTACAACCATTCGGTTGTTATTGATAATGGCTATAAAATCGATAAATACAATTCATCATTTTTCTTTTTACATTTTGTATGCATGAGCATTTTGCACTCCAGTCCGTTATTGGAAACTCCAGTTCTGATTTTACTTCATTTACACACAGGCAGCGGACAGCGAGCATCAGGAACAGTGTTGTTCACGCTTAATCTTAGCTTAATGTTTTATAGTTTTGAAGTCTTTTCACACCACATAGGTTTTAAACATTCACATCAATGCCGATGTTCTGTGAACTCAAGGGGTTCCACTGATTCACTCTACCGTATGTAAATGTAAAGAGGCTTTGCGGCTTTGCTGTCTCCTCTGGTACGAATGGAAACTGTTCTTGAGATACATAGTATGTAGCTGAAAATACCCTCTGTATTAAATAATAAAAAATTGACATTATCAATATTAATCCTGATTGATCAGTTAAAATGACCTGTCCCTGTCCTGCTCAACATTATGTAGCGAATCTGAGCTCCAATCTCAGTTCATTAGATTGAAAGGGATTGCTGCCAATGTTCTGTAAAGCTTGTCTGACACTTGCTCTGAATGAATACCCTTGAGGGTGGAGCCTGGTTATGTCAGGCTGCTGCTCCAGAAACAAATGCAAGAGAATGCAGAACCCTAACCAACATGGTTCCCTCTCTGTAGGTGCGAGTGCCACGGCCATGCGGACAGCTGCGACACCAGCGTGAGCCCATACCGCTGCCTCTGCGTCCCTGAGAGTCATACACAAGGAGCTAACGTGAGTCCTGGAGGGGACGTCAACTCCCCCCAGCCCCCCATTCACTCCTTTTCTTTTTTTTAATTAACCACTTCCCCTTAATGACGTGCAAAAGTTGCTTTTAATGAACAGCGCCCTCAAAACGGGCCTTAATGGAATGAGGGAGGGAGGGAGGGAGGGAGGGAGAGTACCACACGCATATCCAGTTTCCTGAAAGAGAACAAACGAGAGAGAGAGAGAGAGAGAGAGAGAGACACGGGATGGAAGGAGAGGAGGAAGTGGTTTTGCGGGCAGCACAGCTCTAATCGCACCGTCCCATCAGCCCCTGGGTGTCTTACTGATGAGTCCAGCAGAGGTAATTATATCTCTAGGAAAGCTCTGATGACACTGCTCACACTTTCACTGGTGCCACATCACACACACACACACACACACACCACACACAGACACACAGACGTACGCATAGACACTTAGAAGTAGCTCAAGCTTGTTACCCTGTTCTTCAGTGGTCAAGACCCCCATGGACCCTCACAGAGCAGGTACTATTTGGGTGGTGGATCGTTCTCAGCACTGCAGTAACACTGACGTGGTGGTGGTGTTTTTAAACACTGTGTCCACTCACTGTCCACTCTATTAGACACTCCTACCTTGTCGGTCCACCTTGTAGATGTAAAGTCAGAGACGATAGCTCATCTGCTGCTGCACAGTTTGTGTTGGTCATCCTATAGTCCTTCATCAGTGGTCACAGGACGCTGCCCACAGGACGCTGTTGGCTGGATATTTTTAGTTCTCAGTCCAGCAGCGACACTGAGGTGTTTAAAAACTCTGATCCACTCAGACCAGCGTAACACACACTAACACACCACGTGTCAGTGTTACTGCAGTACCCAAATAATACCTGCTCTGTGAGGGTCCTGGGGGGGGCTGACCATTGAAGAACAGGGGAACAAAGTATTCAGAGAAACAGATGGACTACAGTCTGTAACTGTAGAACTACTGAGTGAAGCTATGTGGTCAGTGGAGCTGATATAAACGACAGTGAGTGTAGAAACAAAGAGGTGGTGTTAGTGTCACGGCTGATCAGTGTATATTTTAAGCCGTCCTTTCTACCATTCCTTTCATAGTGCTGTCCGTCCTTGGTATCCATGTGTGACAGGTAGTAAATTTACAAACAGTGTGTTGTGTTTTGATGACAAACCACTCATTAGCAACTAACAGCTCCACTGAGGCATAATGAGGCTCTTCTGGTCAACTAATGCAGTAGTTTCTTTCTTTTAGCCAAAGGTGATTTTCAAAGTGAAGTAAATGACTTTTCAGTGCTGTGTATATGGGTTTGGTGACAGACATGCCTATTGGTTATCGACTTGGATTGAATAGTTTAGGACTGAGATAAAAATAAGATAGAATAAGATTTTGAAAGACATGAATGTGAACTTGTTAAAGGCGAATTCCACTGATGTTTGAAAATCTCTGCATAATACAGCTGTTGTAACCAAAGTCTTTCAGAGTGATTTGATGTGAAATGGTTAATTGTAGAGAAACTTGTTGATTTAGATTTCTTTACAGTGCTGGTGATGGGAACCAGGGATCGCTGTGTCTGCAGCACAAATAGCTTTTTTATTTACTCTCTAAAATCACCAGTGGCCATTTACATGGCTTAGTTTGTGTATAATGTTGATAATGATACTATTTTGCCTCACAACATCCTGCAGGTTCCTCTCCATCATGAATGGTTTTAAAAAGATGTTGGGCCAACACTTAATCTCAAAACTATTGTAGAATAATTTCTCAGACAATAAGCAGCTTATTCATTATCATTTCTGTAAATAACTTTCTGTAAGGTAGCTTTTAGAGATGTTAAACTCTCTCATGTTTAAGTTTGGTTCTCATCACCATCAATGGGAACAATTGACTCTGACTAACTAACCATTAACTTACCCAAAAATTAAAAAAACGAACAGCAGAATTCTCCTTTAACCTGAGACTTTAATTTAAAAAGTCTTTGTAAAACAGTCCCTGGAATCTTCATCACCATGTGTGACCGTCACACAGTCCAGTCTCATGCTTCTTCCATAATAGAGAGGACTATGCTAGTTGTAAGTGCCCCAAATGCAGCTCCGCCCCTCCGGCCTTCACGTCACAACGCACAAGCACGGTGTGGACAAGCCTTGAGTTATGCATTGATTGTTTACGTTCCACAACTCAAACTTTTATAAACGCCGCTTTCAACTCCTGTAATACCTTCTCTCCCTAAACTCCACTGAGAGTCAGTGTGTTTCCCCATGCCAGCCATGTGCGCTTGCCAACACACAGGCAGTGAGTCCCATATTAAACTTTTAAACCTGATGTTTGGTGATTTGAATTATTCACGAAGGGCCATGCATAATTCACGGCCAGTCGCGGCTTTTCTCTCTGCGCCGTTGTTGTGTTCACAGAAACAAACCGGGGCCACATCGAACACATTCGCTGAAAGTGGGTTTGTATGTGTGTGTGTGAGAGAGAGTGATAAACATCAGCCTCCTTGTGGCCCTAAACGGCCCCAGACCTGAACAGCTGGCTTTGAGGAGGGACTGGGGTCTACCCCGCAGCTATGTAGCCTGCGTGAGCGTGTGCTGGAAACCCAGACATGCAGCATTTAAACAGGCCGCTGTCCTCTGCACGTCACGCCACAGAGCGCCAGCGAGAGTGCTGTCAGTGTCCCGTTTCTCTTTTGGTGCCGCTCGGCTGAGGCCATTGTTTTTATCGAATGAGGAATTCCATCAGGTGGTACAGGTAGTGGTGTTGGTGTGATTGGAGAGTTTCAGGAAAGTTTATGTGGAAAAATTGGTAGCACCGACTGAGGGTGGGATTAAAGTTACATGTCTTTTTAAAACTTAAAATAAGGGCTGTCACTGTCGATCAGTGGGTAGTTATGTTTACTGCGTTACAAGTGAATATTTGATGGGTTTGTTCTTTCCTGAGTATTTTACTGATGGCATAATGCCACTTTTTCTTTTCTGATATCTATACTAATATTAAAACCTTGCTTATTGACTGATACTTACACAGATCTGATCATTTTTCTCTAAAAACTACACTGTACTATACATATACTATTCTGTCCTTTACAGGAATATTTACTTAGTTTTCCATGTAGCCCAGAGGTTTCAAGTTTGGCATTTGCACAACATATGATTGCATTGAAATGCTTGTGGTGAGGCTCAGGTAATCGCTCTACAGCAGGGCAGCATTATATACATACTAGAAACAATGCAAACAAAGCAAAACAAAAAAAAACAACCTGAAATATACCCAAAAAATACAGAGACAGGTGGAACCTATGTAAGAAAACTCTCTACTCTGTACAAATAAATTAGACAAAGGATAGTCTGGGGAGAGAGACTCTGTGTGTGTGTATGTGTGTGTGTATATGTATGTGTATATATGTATATGTATATGCTGGAGCCTATCCCAGCTGTCATTGGGCAGAAGGCAGGATACACCCTGGACAGGTCACCAGTCCATCACAGGGCAGACAGACATTCATACACAATCACACACACTCACTCCTAGGGGCAAGTTAGCACATCCAATCAGCCTGACTGCATGTTTTTGGACTGTGGGAGGAAACCGGAGTACCCAGAGGAAACCCACACAGACACGGGAAGAACAGGCAACTCGACACGGGAAGAACAGGCAACTCCACACAGAAAACACCCTGTGTGTAACAGTAAGACAATAAACTCTGGTTTACTCTGTTTAAATGCCAAAGTCACTGCTTAGCATTTTCCCTTATGTTTAAAATTTAAAATGTTTATAAGTCTGATAAATATAGAGGGATTTCTCTCTATATTGCACAACTTGTGTTCACAATATGCGTCTAAACAAAAGAGTTGCGATGAAGCATCCATATTTTGGAAAAGTATCGAATGTTGCGTGGGTACAATGGGAATTACATGGATTAAAAAAAAAAAATAGCATAGTTCAATCAGGTGGATGTAAACAAAATCATTCAGAGTGGTTTGATATTCTGTGAAATGCTTCATTTTAGAGAAACCTGCCAGTCAGAATTGTTCACAGTGGTGGTGGAACCAGACATCTGAAGTGTGAGATATTGTTATATTATAGCTCTGAGGTAAGATTTTGGCCTAAAAGTATAGAAAATACTTTTGTGGTGATGAGCGAAATGCAAAATAATACCCAAAGCTAACAGATTTTTTTTCACAAAACTCATGAATTCATGTAGGTTCACTGGTCATTTTGCACAGTAAATAAAATGGCTATATTTTCATTGTAGACATCCCAACTACTGGTTCCTTTCACCACCACTATAACGAAATCAAAGTCAGTACGTTTTGAATTATTCGTAATTTAAAAATTGAACAAACGATCTAGGATGGTTACTGTCTAATTTCTGAGATTCTTTTTTAACAGATTAAATTTAAAGGTGGACACAGCTTCACTGTCAGTGTGTCTAATGGAAATCCTTTGAAGTCCAGACTGTGCGTACTACTATATTGAAAACCGGCCTGTTCACTCTACACCTTTGAGACGTCTACTGCTTTAATAAATAACAAAAGATGTTCCTGTGTATTACTGATTTTACCCCACCAAATGGAGCATATCTACACTCTGTGCTGGACATTGTAAATGGAAATGCCTGTCCGTCTGTGTGATATTCAGCGATAGATCAAGTGGATATAAGTGATGAATATTTAACTCCTCTGCTCTGCTGAATGCTGCATCGGAAATGATGAATTCAAAACCAATCCACGCAATTTCTCTGCTGACATTAAAGAGGCAAAAGTCACCCGACACATGCCGGAATGATCAGTGCTCTCTGTCAGAGGCCATGCTTACCTGGAGTCTGTAGCATGGAGCTCTTTTACAGCTGTGCCTATTCAGCCACACGAACGTCAGCCCTGAAATATTCCTTCACTATATTTCATTCTCAAAGCACTTACAAAGCTTATGTACTCTCTGTGTGATCTGAGTGCAGTATTTCCAATTAGGGAAAAATGTTATTAAATGACAGTTAAACA